CCCACTTTCAACAACAGTATTATTTTCATACGCAAAGATACGAAAAATATCCCCCTGATTTTTATCCATTGCTCCTACCGTTGTCAATATGTATTCATATCCCCACGATGAAACAGGTAAAAGGAACGCTTCTAAGAAATCAGACGATCCCAGAATACGTGCATAGTCTACGCCTGAAATAACCGTCACTGGTTTACTTGCGATAACAATTGTTCCAGATAAATCTGATGAACCCGAAATGTATAGTGCTTCAAGTTTTTCAAGGACTAGGGTTATGTATAATAGCGATGTACTGTCATCATACCAGAGACCGCGATAGTATATAACCGCGTTCTTGTTGGGAAGAACAATAACTGTGTTATTGTTATGTGCTGATATTACGGCGATATTCGCTCTATAGCTCGAACTATACGGTTGATATGAGGCAGCAACGTAAACTACACCAAGTGTGTTGGTTGGTAAAGCCAAGTATCCATCCGCTGCCTGTCTATAACCTTGCTGATTTAAACAGATTACTGAAATGTCTCTCGTTGATAAAATTTCAATACCATTCTGCCGGTATTTTGATTTCTCCATTCGTAGTGAAATCGGCAGTTTATACTCATAACTTTCTCCTTCTTTAATATGAACAGTGTAGTTCCAAGGCTTGCTTGACAGAGTACCAAATATCGTAACGTTTGTGTCGTAGGGGGCAAGAATTGACAATCCAATGTAGTCATCTCGATAATCAATATGCTGAGCTGTGAACCCAGTAATGAAATGTTTCCCATAATGATTTGGAGTGGCTATACAGAAAAATGGAGTTTAATTAATTGCCAATATAATGATCGAACGAGTAGATTTTCTCATTCAATTTTTGATGGCATTCTACGTCTTGGTGCCTGCGCATGATATTTTTAGCAACAACAACAATAGTTTATTAACACTCAAAAAGATACAAGTACATTCTGTTATAGATAAAAATTACAAATGAGGGTGAAGGCCACCTGTGATAACCATAACGACTAATCGAGAAGGGTGGCCTTTAATTAAAGAGACACAAGAAAAACATGATTACAAGAGTTAAGACAGTAATCAATATAGAAATACTTAACTAGAAATGCATGCATGCAGCAACCCCTCGCATGTATTTTCCAAACATTTATTTAACATGAAGTATTAAAGGAATACTGAATGGTTTTCCTTGCAAGATTGCGTGATCCATGCAGGCGGGATGTTGCGGGACTTTCGGAAAGCGTGAAAATACACGAGCCGTAGGCGAGTGTATTTTTACGCTTTCCGAATGTCGAGCAACATCCCAAATGCATGGATCATGCTATCCTGGACGGGAAAACCATTTGGTAATTGTTTTATAAAATTACTACAGTGAAACCACGGTTAACTTGATTAAAATTACTGATGAAATGTGCAGTTCTCACAACAATCGTCAAATAACCAATCGGAGAATCGCTACTCCACGCTATTGAAAACAACAACAAATGCGAATAGAATTTGATCGCAAATTCGCGAAAATATTGAGCGAAAATACAGAGATTTTTTCGATAATATTTACGAAATTTGAAATGGAAAACCCGCTAAACAGAGAGCCAAAGTATTTATGAAAAGATTCTCGACCTGAATACTTGAAGATTGCGAAGCGTTTGAACTTTGAAGCGACTAGCGAGAGATGTTGTACTTGCCATGGTCTGATGAATTTCAACGCTACGCGTTGCTACTTGCTTGAACAGGAATGTATCGATCAGAAATTTATTCATACAACTAAACCAACGTCTTGGAAACTTACTTCAAAGTCGAAAGGTATCGTACAATGAAACTTTACAATGCGAGTATATTTGTAAAATTATGTGCAAGAATTTCTGTCCAGAATTTCCCGTGCAGGATTGCCTGATCCTGCACGGCTGTTGACCAATCAAATTGCGTGTTTCACTGTAGTTATTATATAATAGTAATTGAACAACACTGAACGAATGCTCGCGTTTATGTCAGTGTTGCCATGGCAACACGATAGATTTAAATATTATTATATTTTTTGCACAACACGGCAAAAATAGTTGAAAGATTATTGCTTTTAACTATATAACAATGAATTTCCGAAATATGTACTGTATAAGTATGTTGCTCTGCATTTTGTGAGCTTTGATTTAATGTAAAATTTAATGTAAAACCTGAATCGCTGGGTAAAATGTTTTGAAATGTTCATTTTAATAACTATATTAAAGTATAACTGCTTTTTCAGATAAACTGTTTTTACTTAATAAAACAAAATAAGTTCAAATTGTTGAGTAATTTCAGTTCGGTTTTCAAATTAATTTGCTCTCCTTTACATTTTACGTTTTTTTCTTCAATTAGACAGGGTAATTTAGCAAACTTTAATACAGCTTCATTGAAAAGGAAAGCAGTGCATGTTTTACGCAATAAATTAAAGCAACAATGTCCATAAAGATTAAACATTCAAAGCAAACTTGCCCTATATTTCACGATTTTACACAGTAAATCAATTCTTCTCATTTCTTAAAACAACGTGCTTGAAAGCTCATTGTGTGAAACGTGATTTTCCAAATATTGAAAATTGAAATCTAGAAAATTGAAATCTTGCCTATCCCACTCCTGGCAAACAAGCCATATTTTTGAGATCAGCGAGAATGACCACCCACCTACCGCGGTTGGTGACCCACGCCCGCGATCATTGACGAACTTCAGACTTCGCTAATGCTTCCCTTTCCCGGGTGTAAATAGCCGGGCGGAATTAGTACCCTCGCCAAGGGTTAACGCCCGAAACGGCGCTCCGTGATAAGCTTAATTGCACAGACAACAAAAACATGAAGAAAACAAAAATAGCTCAAATATTTTGAATAATATTAAGTGGAAAAAAGGAAAATATAGGGGGAAATTTCGTGATGTGACTTAGTAGGCACCAATCAGCTGTTCTTTTAAAACTTATGTTTGAAAGTAAATTTAGAAAGAGTTTTCATTCCAAATCTGAGTTCCTCTAAATCTGATTCTAAATTTGCCATAATTTGTGCGAGCTGGAGGAATAGAGTAGGTGGGTCTTGACGGAAGTCGAGTATTATAATTATGCTGATTTTGTATTAGGCTAAAGAAGTCATTAAAGGCCTCAGGAAGTTTGCCATTACTACTGATGTACAAAAAGTGCTGTGTTGACATAAACAATATCTGGAAATTTTAATACATTTAATTTTTTAAATAAAGGAGAAGTATGCTCCCTGAAGTTAGAAAAAGTAATGATGCGTATAGCTTTTTTGCAGAACTACAAGAGGACAAAGGTTTGAGTGATAGGTATTTCCCCATATGATTACAATGTATTCCAGAAATGGAAAAATAATAGAATAGTATAATTGGATTAAAATACTTGTAGGAACAAAATAACTTAATTTGGACAATACACCAATACTTCTAGCTAGTTTTTTAGATAACTCATGGACATGAGCCTTCCAGTTCAGATTGGAATCAATAATTACTCCTAAATAATTTGCATTCTTCTTTTCCTCCATAACCTCTCCTCTTATTAGAAGCTTAAATGGATAATCACGTTTCTTTTGTGGAGGATGAAACATGACAAAGCTTGATTTGTCTGCATTGAGGGATAGTTTATTGGCACAAAGCCACCATTTACATATTGCAATTGATTATCCATTTTGAATTTTAGATCCTGTAATCTCCTGTCAGCACAAAATAAATTTGTGTCATCAGCAAAAAGATGAAAATCCAGCTGTAAGGCACAGTTACAAAAATCATTAATATACAGTAAAAATAACAATGGTCCCAAAACCGACCACTGCGGAACGCCACAGGTGATCGACTTTAGAACAGAGTTGGTATTTTCAATTGAAACATATTGAGATCTACTAGTTAAATAGGAACGAAACCAATTCCCTGGTAATCCTCTGATAGCATAATATTCAAGTTTCTGAATTAGTATGTCATGATTAACGGTGTAAAATGCCTTGCTTAGGTCCAAGAATATACCACAGGAAAATAGTTTCTTTTCTATTGAATTCTGTATTTTGTCAGTTATTAGGAGAATAACTTGCGCAGTTGAATGGTTAGCACGAAATCCAAATTGGCCATTAAAGAAAACATTATTATTCTGAAAATAATCAATTAGTCTATTATACATTAATTTTTCCATAATTTTACTAAAAATTAATAATAAGGAGATGGGGACTACCTTATAGCTATTTTGAAATTTTTTGGGACCTCACCAACACTGAAAGAATAGTTAAATAGGAATGCCAATGGAGCAGAAAAAAGGTTTCTTAAAATTTTAAGCAGTTTAGTGGGGATACTGAAAGGAACATTTGATTTAGAAGCATTTAAGTTATCAATTTCTTGCTCTATTTCACTTGTTATATAACAGGAAACAATACAAAACTATTTCTGAGAGGTGTAGTCATATATTTATGAATGTTTAATTAGCACTAGGAATTTTGGCAGCCAACTCGGGGCCAACGGATACAAAATAATTATTAAAGGCATTAACAATGCTCTGCTTATCAGTTAATTTTGAACTGCATGCCTAGCTCCAATACATGAGGTGCTTTGAAAGATCGTCTCTTAAGGCTAATTATTTGCTTAATTCCTCTCCACGTTTCTTTAATGTTGTGATTGTTTGATTTGAAATAATTACTACAATATTGTTTTTTACAAATGAGTAACAAATGCTTCTACTAATTTCTATGTCTAATTTAGATTAATAGTAATCGTTTTTAAATTTTAAATATTTTTTATAAATCTTATTCTTTTTGGCAAATGGAAATTCTAATTCCTTTTGTTACCCAAGGCTTTGTGTGTAATTTGTACTCTCTTTTGGAAAGTATCTTTAACGAAGCATGTTTGTCTATAACTTCATTAATCTTTATATGAAATATCTCAAAAATTGAATTAATATCTTTTGCCTTTGTAAATGTGTCGTCCCAATTAATACTATGAACTTCTCAGCAACCAAGCTTTCTTCATCCATTCGAGAATAATCTTTTTTGTAAATGGCACCACGGTATGTGGAGCATAACAGATCATTAATAATCATTCAAAAACTCATTAATAGTTCATGAGGAAAACACAAAGAGAAATCATAAGCGTGGCGTGTCTTTATATGTGATAAAACACGCTTCAAATTTCAACTTGTATTTTCTCAGGTAACACAAAGTTATTTTGGAAAATTATTTCGCCAATGCCGTGATCTAACTGAGACGTTTTTGAAGCTGTTTAATAAACTCGTAGTTCGTGTTTTATCACATATAAAACACTCCGCTACGCGTTGTGTTTTATATGTGATAAAACACTCCTACTCGTTTATTAAACAGTACTTAAAATACTCATTAATAATTCATAAACCTTGTGGCAAATCATGTCAGCCATAATATGTCACGTGGAGTGACTTTATACCTGATAAAGCATGTGGCATTATATAATTGTTCATCCTAATTAGTATGATTATATAATGGTTCATCCTAATTAGTATTCTTTTGTAGTAGTATTTTAAGCTGTTCAAAACACTGGTTGTCGTGTTTTATCAGACATAAAACGCTCGGCTACGCCTCGCGTTTTATATCTGATAAAACACTCCTACTCGTGTTCTAAATAGTACAAAAATTTGGAAGATGATCAGTCAAATCACACAGCAAATTGCCACTGGAAACCTCGTGTTCAAGGGAATTGAAACATATGTTACCAATCAATGTAGCAGAATGGTCTGTAATTCTGGTAGGTTTGATTATATGTGGTTGAAAACAATAAGAAGCCAATGTGTTTATGACATAGATATCTTATATACACTAGATAGGGCATCAAATTATTCTACAATTCAAAAATTGAAGCCGTGATTGCAGACTCAGGATATTGCCATGAAATGAAAGATTCGTATGTTTTCTATTTCTTTACACAGGGAACTTAAACATTAAGTTAAACCTATTCCAAATATATTTTTAAACTATTCAAATTATGAAAGTTATTGTTGTTTTTTTAAGCGTTTATTAGCGAGTGGGAACTACCAACATGGCCGCCATCTATTCAAGTGGGGGTAACCGCTGGAATATTCTTGGCTTCAATTTTACTAAAAGAGATGCGCTATCTAGTGTATATAAAATATCTATGGTTTATGAAGTCACCTGTTGGATTGTGAGATTCAAAATTTAACAGATTCAAATTATAATCATCATACAATGAGCAAAGTTTTGATTCATTAGAGATTTTATCAATAGCTGCATAAAGATAGTCAGTGAACTCGTCCAAAATGCCATTTGGATGTCTATAAATCACAGCACATACCATGTTACGGGTTTTACGATGAATTTCTATCCATAAACATTCATAGTCATCCGTCGTAACAGTTAAGTCATCCCTTACATGGAATTCTATATCATCTCTGAATGAACGAACTGGACTGTGCGAATAGCTGGTCTAGGAATTCGAACTTGCTAATGAATGCTACCAAGACAAAAACGATGGTCTTTTCAACATCCCAGATGTCCACAACTCATAACCTGGCTTCGTTGGATCTTGTCTCGATGCATATCAATCATCAAATAGGATCAAGGTAAAGCTTAACGAACACCTTAAATGGAACCTTCATTTAAACGAAGTTATAAGATCGTGTTATGCTGTTTTGGCTGACTTGCGACGGTTAAAGAGATTTACAACATTTCATTTAAGAAAACAATTGGCTGAATTGCTAGTATTGTCAAAATTGGACTATTGCAACTGTCTATACCGGTCATTGCCTGCATACCTTTTAAAACGGCTGCAAAAGGTTCAAAACTCGGCTGCTGGTTTTGTTAATGGCAGGTATTCTAAAGCTGAAGATGTGGTCTCAATTGGTTAGTTACTAATTAAAGAAAGAATCGGTTACAGTATTGCCAAACTTGCATTTCAAGCTCTTAATGATGAAAGATGGCCAGGTTATTTAACACTAGAAGTAAAAGAAGTTACTAGAGTTTTGAGAAGTAACAGTGATGGTGATTTAAGCTAGATTCAAACACTACTACATCGAAGATACTTTTCAGTATAATGCTGCAAAAGTTTTTAATGATATTCCTGGTGATTTTAAATGTATGGATTTTAAAAACTTTAAGATTTCCTTAATTAAATTAAAGAAACTTTTACTAGATCGTAGTAAGGAAAGACTAAACTTAGACTGATAACTTTAAATTATTTTAACTGTTTGGAGATTTTCAAATACTCCATTGTATAGTGATATAGATGTAAATAGTTTGTATTTTAATAGTAAGTCATTTTGTAATTTAATAGTAAGTCATAGTAAAGTCGGATGAAGAGCCATGTAAATGGATATGCCATATTAAATCATTATTATTATTAATATTACTATAACCCCACTCCACCAGCTTCATAAACTGTTGCTGGGGAAAAATGTATAACCTGTTAATCAATTGATCTCTATGTACTTTTATCCTAGTTTCAGATAAGCCTATTATGCTAAAATTATGCTGCAGGTTAACCAGCAATGTTATCATATTATCATAATTAGCTGAAAGGCTTCGAATATTACAGAGAATAATAGAAAAAGGATTTTTAGAAGTTGCATTCCTGGGAAAGTAATCAAAATTTATGTTATCAAATATGTTTACACTGTCTACATCAGACCCAGCAGAATTTGGTACATTGTTCAGAAAAGAGGCAAGCTCAAGTGTAGGTAAATTAGCAAAAGAGTCATTTGCATATCTTTTTGGCAAGCTGAGCCAGCACTTATATTATCTCGGATTGCTTCGAGATTCACACCTAAAGTAGTTAAAATGATATTAGCATTAATACCACAAAAAGACAACACGCGAAACATTTCTCTTTTGCAGATAGAACTGCGGTATGGACAACTTGCATGTTAGACAAAATTTTAATCTAAGGAGAGAAAAGGAAATCAGACACCACAGCTAAAAAGAACATATTGAAATTAGTAAAAGTGCAAAATTTGGTTGCGAAATGTTGTAAAGCTTGGAAAATATAGCCTTGCAAAGTTTGCATATTTTCAGTATATTTGTATTACGAGCGGAAATTGTTACCATTTTCGAGCCGAAAATGGCAACAATTTCCGCACGTAATACAAATATACTGAAAATATGAAAACTTTGCAAAGCTATATTTTCCGAGCTTTACAACATTTCGCAACCAAATTTTGCAAGTTTACTAATTTTAATAAGTTCTTAACGGGAATTTACTTTTTTTTTGCCTTGATCGGCTAGATCAAAAATTTGTCTAACATGCAAGTTGTCTATTGGAGGATGGATGAAATCGAAGTGAAACTGTGCTTATACCTCGCAAAAGTGGATTTCTTTCTTCAACTACAATGTTAGTCAACAGGCACGGAGAAGAAAGAAAATTTAGATCTTCCACATGAACAAATCTTTCAAATTTAGATACGGATAGATCAAAGGCAATATTCCCCAAATGCTTTATACGTGCAGAGAAAATGGAGCTGAAGGCAGGAAAAGAAACGAAACCTAACAGGTGAGATAATTTCCACCCATAACAAATGAATAAGTACATTGTAATGCTTCATGACAACATACTCTAGTTGCGGGAAGATATTTTTGTAATCCCCAAGGGTCACAAATTCCGATCAGCTTTGTAAATTAAATTTTGGCAAAGGAAAGAATTAATAAAGTCTGAAGTTCTGACTCATCAATAATCTCAGGCGCATATAGCTATGTTTTACCGATGGTGGGTGGTCATTCGAACTGATGAATCGAAAAATATAGCTGCTTCCAAGAAGTGGCCATAAGCAAGTTTTCAATTTTCAGAAAATAATATATAATTTATTTGGAAAATCATTTCATACAATGCTTTTTCAAACAAGTTTGTTTTGAATAAATAAGAAGAATTGATTCACTATAGGAAATCGTGAAATGTCTAATATTTTAAATTAATTTTTTGCACATAATTCTTGCGTAAAACATGCATAACGTTCCATTCCTTGTAGCTGCAAGTTTCCTAAATTCTGGCTATTTACACCTGGGGAAAGGAAAGCATTAGGGAAGTCTAAAGTTCATCAATGATCGCGGGCGTTGTTCACTGTGCAGGGGTGGTCATCCCACTGCTAGCTGATCTCAAAATATGGCTGTTTGCCAGGAGGCAAATATATAAAAATACATGTAAGAATGCTTGGAAAATCGTTTCACATATCAAATTTTAAGACTTTTTTCATTTTTAAACGTAAGCATTAATTTTATAAGAATTGATTTAGTATGAGAAATCCTAAAAGTATAGGGCAAGTTTGTTTCAATTGTGTATGTGTGACATGTATTTTTTTAAATAAATATAGACTTTGTTCTTGTTGTTCAAGCCTTTCCTACGCATTGTTTGCGGAAGTTTCTTAGTTAAATTAGCTTTTGTAGAAGTTCATCATAAAAAGCGAGTAATAAGTTGCAGGTCGAGACTCGAGTTGAAGAGTTTATTAGCTTAATATCGGTAAAAAGCAGTTAAATTCAATTCACATTTAAAAATTTTTTACATCGAGTTTCGTTTTGAATTTTACATTAAAATAAAGCCCATGGTATGTGACATAGAAAGCAAAATAATATACCTGCTTTATATATTTTATAAATTGATAGTTCTGTATTTAAAAGTGTTCAATTTCATCTATTTTTGCAGTTTTGTACAAAGTTTAAAATTAAAAACAATTATCGTGTTGCCATGACTAACATGACGTGACAACGTGAGCCTGCGTCCAGTGTTGGCATAATTACGAATACTTCATGTTGAAACAATATTTGGAAAATATATTACAATTTCGAACCAGAAAAGTGTTAGATATTCAGTTAGTATGTCTCAACCTCGTTCCCAGGGCTTTCGTATGAGGACGAGAGGAGAGACGAGAAAGCCCTAGTCTGGGCCGTTCACGTGACTACCCAAAATATGGATTTAACACTTCCGTTCACCATACTTACCCGTTTGGATGGTGAGTTGTTAGCCCGGGTGACCGCGGGGTGGCCTGGGACGACTACTGGCACTACTGTTGCTTGGACTCGGGTTAAGATCCATGCCAGTGGTATCTTGAGCAGACAACCCCCGCAGGGCCAACACCTTCACACTAATTAACAATTGGTTGAAATATGAAAGAACAGGAGAACAAAAGAAAAAAATCTTTGTTCCTGATACGTTTTCTATGCTTATAGCGCACATTATAGCGCACACTGATTACTAACACCATCAATGCGCGGCCAAGCTCTTATTACATACGCGCCCGCCCTCTTTTAAGTCACGTGATGTGCTGACGTAACGTGGCTTGGTTCCCTAGCTGTTAACCTTTATTATTGCATAACCTCATATATTTGACAGCTACTCGTCAATGAGTGGCGAGATATTCTTAACTGACGGTTTTCTTGGCGGTTTTATATGAATATCTTCAATTCAATGCTTATAACTTCTGCTTTTGTCTAATTATAATACTGTCAGTGGCGAAGCTAGCCATAGCAAAAGGTCACGCGCTATGCAAGTTTTAATGATTTGCATTATTCAAATAGATGCAGGTTTATCAGCATAGCATGGTCAGTTGCCATGGCTAGCTTGCCACTGAATACTGTACAATGTTTATACAAAAATACTAAGTCGGGTTTTGTTCCAATTATTGTTTTAATGCCACTCCTGACTGCATGTATGTAAGATATTCAGAAATGAATTTCCGAGATGTTGATTACTTAATACTGAATGTGTGTAGAGCACAAAAATGAAAGCTGAATAACTAGTTGTGTAGCAAAGCTGCAGTGACAATATAATTTTTCAACTGTAAAAAACAATGATAGCCTATAAATTGAGCGAAATATTACATGAAATTTAAGGCAAAAGAAAAGGTTGAAGAACTAACACTTCCAGCTACATAATTTTGCAAAATTAAACTAAATAAATAATTAAACTAAATATAATCTTTACATAAATTAGGAGCCTTTGATGAAATTGATATAAAATCAATAAAGTATGTCATTTTATAATATAGCCTACTATATTTATAATATTATGTTATGGAGTCTTTTGTCTTGGGGTCTTGCATTGAACAACTACACACTGACACACACACTCATTCACGATCAGGATTTTGTCATTTGTAATAGAAAGATGCAAGACATCACTCGCAATTTTTGTAGATTTGTACAATTAACGGTACAGTCTTTAGTGCAGACGCATAGCCTTTCGTCTGTCTTAGTTACTTTGTATATAAAATGTCCCTTAGGCGATTTGCTGATTTCAATCTCTAAATAATCTAATGCCCAATTTTGTGCAGCTTTTTAATACATTGTGACACAACATTCAATATATTTTATTTA